AAGGAAGGAAGGAAGGAAGGAAGGAAGGAAGGAAGGAAGGAAGGAAGGTTTGTGCAGTGCTGGGGATCAAACTCCAGGCTTTGTATCATCCCAGACCAAAATTTCCAACTTTTTTTGGTGGTGGTGGTGGTGATTTTTCAAGACAGAATTTCTCTGTGTACCTTTGGAACCTGTCCTGGAACTCACTCTGTAGACCAGGCTCGCCTCCAACTCACAGAGATCTGCCTGCCTCTGCCTCCCTGAGTGCTGGGATTAAAGACCTGAACCACCAATGCCCAGTCCAAAATTTCCACCTTTTAAGAAATGGCAGTTTCTGCATTGTTGATGGGAATGCAAGCTGATACAACTCCTTTGAAAAAAGAAAGAAAGAAAGGAAGGAAGGAAGGAAGAAAGGAAGGAAGGAAGGAAGGAAGGAAGGAAGGAAGGAAGGAAGGGCAGTAATAGATGGGAAGGGGTATTTCTTCTTAATATCTTTGTAAGGAACAGGAGATTTCAATTCCAAATTGTAAAGGGAGAATGATCTATGAAATTCCACAAGTAGAGTCCTCAGGTCAATGTGAATTCACCTTCCCCAGGGCCAGACTGTGGGCCTTGAATTTGGTTTCTCTTTCCACCCTCTCTTTGAAGAAGGCTTCCTTTTCTACCTCCAAGTATCCTGCGGTCCTGAAATCATGACAGGAGGCACAGGACAAGGAATCTCCTTCCCACACTTCTTCCCACTCTACAGAGGGAAACAGAAGCCAAGGAAGAAAACTGACATACCCATGGAGGGAGAGAGCTACCCTGTCAACCTGACTCATGAATTTACTCATCCATCTAAACAGCAGGGAAGAGACCCCTGGAGTGTGGCACTCCAGCATGGGGCTCTGGAGACATGAAGCGGACAGGAGAAATCCCCAGACTCCAGGGGAAAGGGGAGGTGTAGGAAGGAGAGGGCAGGAGGGGTCAGTCTCATCTCCAGGTGTCCTGCTGCGGATGCTTCCGATTTGGATGCTCTCCAAACGATCTCCTTATTTCATTCCCCACTTTTATCTAAGTTGTTCTTTCCCTAGCCTGCTGAGTCAAGCTAGGCAGTCTAGAAAAAAGGACATCAAAAGGTCCTCTGAGAGTTCTTGCTGGGCAGGGTCCATGGTTTTCCGTCTGCGGAGCAGAGCGCTCTGGGAAGTTCCGCCCACAACTCTCTGACGCTTTGGCCCCATAGAGCCCACCTCGCTTAGCTCCTGGATTGATCCTGGGTGAGCCAAAAATTTTGGTTTCTGCTTATGTCAGTTTCTCTTAAGTTTTTGTTGTTGTTTCTGATCCAAATAGTTCTAAATAATTCATCTACATTCCTCCAAAAGAGCTAGCAGGAGCTTATATATTGATCTGGGGATTTGGTGAATCTGTAACCAGGCTGCCTCAAACTCACAACATAACCAAGGATGACTTCAAACTTCTGATTCTCCTGCCTCTGCCTTCCAAGTGCTGGAATTGTGGGTATGTATTGACCAGCTTCAGTGGGCTTTTGCCTATTGTTTCTTTCTTTGGTTTTTCGAGACAGGGTTTCTCTGTAGCTTTGGAGCCTGTCCTGGAACCAGCTGTTGCAGACAAAGCTGGGCTCGGACTCACAGAGCTCACAGAGATCCGCCTGCCTCTGCCCACCCCCCAACCCCCGAGTGCTGGGATTAAAGGCGTGTGCCACCACCACCCCGCTGCCTGTTGTTTGTTTTTAATAGAAGAATGCCTGAATACATGAGCTACTCGGACACATCAGAACTAGGAGATCAGAATTTGAGGCCAAACTCTGCCACATATGAGCTGTGTGGCTCAGAGGACAAACACCACGTTTTCGGGGGAGGGGAGGTGGAGAGGAGGATTGAGACAAGTAGCCAAGGTTGGTTTTGAACTCATTCTGATCCTCCTGCCTCAGCCTCACAAATGCTAGGATTACAGTTGTGCACCCCTCCCCAGGTTTTCTGTTGTTGGTGATGGTATTGCTGTGAGTCAGGGTTTTATTCTGCAGCCCTGGCTGACCTCCAACTGTAGCCATCCTCCTGCCTCAGCTCCTCAAGTTCTGATGCTACTCTTGAGAGTCTTATTTTCTTCATTTGTAAAGTAGAGAAAAACACACTTCCTCCTCACAGATGCTGGGAGGATTAAAAGAGATAATGGATAGAAAAGAGCTTTGTAAATGGAAAGGGGCTATAAATATAAGTGATTATCATTAAATTTTAATAATAAATGACGTCTCCAAAGACAGCAGGAGCCTTGGAGATTCACTTGCTGAGCTGTGAGGAGGGGAGACAGGTTGTGTCCCCATTTTAAAGGCGAACCTAGAGCAGTTGCAGAAAGGAAATGTGAGATCCGTTCACAGGAAGAGCACCTTGTTGGAACCAGGAAGAGGCCAGATAAGGAATGAAAGATCATAATGGGAACCAAAAGCCGAACACGGTGGGACACACTTGTCATCCCATTCTCCAGAGGCTGAGGCAGGAGGATGAGAAGTTCATGAGCAACATGACAAGAGCCTCGCTATCTATAAGGCTGGGGGCGTAGCTCAATGGTGTGTTTTCCTGATGTTGGTGAGACCCTGGGTTCCACCCCCAGCAGAGAAGGAAGAGATGTGTACAATGTGTATGGGGTACATGTGTTTAATTCTAGCATTTGGGAGGTCAAGTTTATCCTGAACTATATAACAAGCCTCAAACTTGACTATGTAAGATATTCAAAATCTTAAAAATAATCATAACAAAACAAGGCTAAGCAGAGAAACCTCAGGGAAAAACAACCAACTGCAAGAAGCTTAAAACATAACTTGCTGGACATGGTGGTGCACGCCTTTAATCCCAGTATTCAGGAGGCAGAGGCAGGCGGATCTTCTGTAAGATTTTTATTTTTGTTTTTTTGTTGTTGTTTTGGTTGGTTGGTTTTTTGTTTTGTTTTGTTTTTATTTTTCAAGACGGGGTTTCTCTGTGTAGACCTAGCTGTTCTGGAACTCATTCTATAGACCAGGCTGGCCTTGAACTCACAGAGATCCACCTGCCTCTGCCTCCTGAGTGTTAGGATTAAAGGCGTGCACCACTAGTGCCCAGTGTTCTGTGCATTGAAGGTCAGTTTGGTTTACACTGAGTTCCAGGTTGGCCAGGACTTGGTGTCTCAAAAATAAATATACACAGGCAAATAAAAAGGCCCCAAAAGTGATTGGCCTCGAACTCACAGAGGTCCACTTGTCTCTGCCTCCCAAGTGCTGGGATTAAAGGTGTGCACCACCACCATCTAGCAAAATAAATCTTTTTTAAAAATCTCAAAAAATTCAAAAAAATTAAGCAATAGCCAGGTGGTGGCAGCACATGCTTTTAATCCCAGAACTCTGGAGGCAGAGGCAGGCAGACTTCTATAAGAAGAAGAATCAGTTGGTATACATAGTGAGCTTTAGGCCAGCCAAGACTAGATGAGCTCCTGTCTCAAAAGCAAACAAAC